GTAACCAACAAAGAAAATTTCCTTCCATATATAAACCTTTCCTTGACTTTTACAATAACAGACTAATACAATATTTGTCCTTCTGTGATTGACTTCTTTCACTCAGCATAATGTCCTCCAAGTTGAAGATGATATGTCTTGGTGATTTTCTTTTGGGGTCTATCCTGTTTGGGGTTCTTTGAACTTCTTCAATGGATATATTCTTGTTTTTCATCATACTGAGGAACTTCTCTACCAACAAATCCTCAAAAATGTTCTCTGTGGTTTTATCTGTCTTGTCCTATTCTGGAATTCCAATAACATGTAGGTCATTCCTTTTGATGGTGTTCCACATGAATCTTAGGCTTTCTTCACTTTGTTTTGATATTTTTTTTCTGACTGATCCTTTAACAAAGTAATATTGAAGTATTTGTCTTCAATCTCATTAATTCTGTCTTCCATTGATTTGATTCTACTCCTTTGCCCATTCAAGTGTTATCTATTTCTGAAATCTTAGTAATGATTTTCTGGATTTCTATTTGTGGTTTTTGTGTCATTTCTAACTTTTTGTTTATTTTATCAATTTATTCTTGTATTATTTTCCTAAATTTTTCTAGAATTTTGTCTGTGTTTTCTATAATTTTTTGTTTTCCTTGATCTTGTCAGTGTTTTCCTTGATCTGTCTCTCAACCCATTGAAGGTACTCAAATATAATTCTTTTGAGTTCCTTATCAGGGAGTTCCAGTGCTGCTTCTTCCTTAGGGATGCTTTCTGGCTTTGTATGCTGGGCCCTCATTTATACTACTTTATCTTGCTTCTTTGTGTGGACTGTGATGGTCTGTTGTCTCCACAACATTGTTGTGTTGCAGTATTTATGTTTAGTTTATGGTTGTATGTAGGTACGATTGATGTAAGATTTTTTTTCCCTTTATTTTCTTTTCATATATTTGTGTGACCAGTGTACTGTGCTTCTTTATTCACTAGTTGTTAGCACTTAGGCACTCACCACCCATCCCTTGGTGGATGTGATAGAGAATGAGAGTGTGTGAACAGATCTCTGCTAATCGTTTGTAAAGAGCAGTTGAGGGTGAGTTGAGTTAGTATCAGCTGCCATTTGTCATGGGTCAGTTGGGGCAAAAGCAAGTGCTGGTCCTCACTCAGTGAATGGGGCTACAGGAGGTGCAGGTATGTAGGTTCGTTTGTATGGGAATCATTGCTGTTTCCCATTCAGATAAAAAATCGTTTTAAAAAATACCAATAAATAAATAAAAACAATAGAACAAAAAACTCAAATCACATAAACAAATAGGAATGATGGGGGAGGAAGCAATATATAAGAAGAAAATATTTAAAAATATATTTAAAAAGTTCTTTTGAGTTGTGGTGTTGGTAAAGAATACTGAAAGTACCATGGACTGCCAGAAGAACTAACAAATATGTCCTGGAAGAAGTACAGCTGGGATGCTCCTTGGAAGTTAGAATGGCCAGACTTTGTCTCATCTACTTTGGTCATGTGAGATAGGACCATTCTCTGGAGAAGGATATCATGCTTAGTAAAGTGGAGGGTGAGTGAAAAAGGGGGAGGCCCTCAATGAGATGGATTGACACAGTGGCTGTCATGATGGGCTCAGGTATAGCAAGGGTTGTAAGGCTGGCACAGGACTAGGCAGTGTTTTGTTCTGTTGTACATAGGGTCTTTATGAGTCAGAGCCAACTCATGAGAAAAAGGGGACAAAAGGAAGAAAGGAGGAAAATAAAAAGAATAATTTTAAAATGAACACAAACAAAACTGTGAGGGATGTGGCTTGGCATCCAGTCTCCATCAGGGCACAGAACAGGATGGAACTCCCACCAGTCAAAAGGTGGGTGGAGGTGGGGGATGGCCAGATGCCTGTTCACCAAGAAAATGTGGGGCATAAGAGTAATAAGGAGAATATCACACATGTCCAGTCATCAGCCTCCAGTGCAGTTGCCCATGCTGTCCTTAGCAGGCAGAACCCACTTCTAGGTCACTGTTCAAGTAAGAACACAACTTGGACACATTCAAAATGGCCCCACTTGCCTCTTGCAAACATCCAAAATGGCTGTACCCTCAGGTCAGCCACTGGCAGTCCACATGTCCACCTCCTTCTCTTCCTCACTGTTCTCTATTCTGGTCATCGGGCACCAAATGGACCTGCTCATGAGCTTCTTAGTGAGCAGAGCTGATTCCTAGGTTACTATTGGCAAATATTCAAAATGGCTGTGCCCTCAGGACAGCTGGCAGTTCGCTGCTCCCTTTGTCTCCTTATTCACTGTTTCATTCAGGTTCTTCTACTAGTTGGTGTTTAATCCACTTCTTTATCCTTCTCTTCATAGCTCAGGGTTCCAGGATCATCTTTTGTATCAATTTTAATTGGTTTTTCATTGCTTTGTTGCAGAGGGTCTGTGTAGCTTGTCTGCCTATTCCGCCATCTTGCCTGAACTCATCCGGTCTTATTCCTTTCTAATACAGTCTCCCTACTGCAGCCAGAGTGGGCTTTGTGGAATGCAAGTCAGCCTCCTGCTTAACATCTGTCAGAGGCTTGCATTACTCATAGGTCAAAAGCAAGAATATGCAACAAAACTATCAGCCCTTGAATGGCAGCCTCTGAGGGCATCTCCAGCCATCTTTCAGCTTCTTGTATACAATCTTATTAGCCATAGGACCTTTGCATATGCTATTCCTTCTACTCAGAGCTCTTTTCCCTCCTCTTTTCACCTAGTTAACTCTTACTCATTGTTTCTTCCTCAGGAAGAGGTCTTTCATAACCTCCCAAAACCAAATCACCCTATGGTAGCTCAGAGACCCTCAGGTTACTCTCCTAAGCAGGACTTAGAGTTGCACTCTTACAATTATTTGTGTGGTTGCTAGACTATTGTCTGTCTTCCTATTGGGTTGTAAGCTGTGAAAGGACAGGGATCATGTGCCCTCAGGATCTAGCATATAATGAGTGAATTATGTGTGAATGAGTGAATGAGTGAGTAAATGATTGAAGGAGGTAGGGAATGAATAATTGAATGACTAAATAAATGAATGAATGCTTGAATGAGAGCCAAAAAAAAAAAAAAAAAAACCAAACTCACTGCCATTGAGTCGATTCTAACTCATCATCCCCGACCCCATAAATATTTATGGAAGTAGATTGTCCATGAAGTGGCTGGTGGGTTTGAACCACCAACCTTCTGGTTAGCAGTCAAACGCTTAGTCACTATGCCACCAGAGCTCCTTTGAATGAGGGCCAGGTTAGGGTAAACCACCAATTCAAAAGGATTTTTATTGAATTAAAGAGGATTTGGAGTATGACAAAGGACTGCTGATAGTATTCCACCAGGGAAGGAAGAGTGCCCTGGGGGATGACTATAAAATGGAACTGTTGAGGAGGCAGGCAAATATGATACCTGTGCTGTGCCTGGGGTACTCCCTGTATGATTCTTCAGCACAAGTCCCCTTTGCAAGCTCTATTCTACCCAAGTCAGTCCCTTCATCAGATTCTTTCACAATTCTTCTGAAGCCCAGTAATCCCCAGTCTGATCCCAAAGGCTGCTCTCTGTCTCTTACCTATTGATGGAACTGACGCTGGGCACAGTATCGTTGTCACAGACCCCCTCAGCCAGGAGCCGGTCTCGGATCTCCCATGCAAACATGGTAGGATTCTGCCGCTTGTAGTCCCCAATCTTCTCCACCACCTTGGGGGTGGCCACCTTGGGCTTGGAGCCCCCTATCACTCCAGGCCGGATGCTGCCAGTCTCGTAGTACCTACTCCAATAGAGAACCCCGAAGAATTAGCCAATAAGCAGGTGGGATCTTTGGGCAGATATTGAACCCAAAACTCTCATTCCCTTCAGAGGCTGAAACATACCCCTAAGGCTGGCCTCAAACACTTGATGTTCCCAGGACTGTTTCCCTTGCTTGGGTAGGTTTATGCTGTTGTTCAATCAGAACACTCTGCTAAAGACCTCACCCTGAGATGCCTGGTTTCTCTCCTTTGCTTCACTCTAGCCAATTTCTAGTAGCAGAGCACCTGCAGGAGCCATCTTATGGTCTATAAAAGACTTTCTTTCTAAGAAAAGGTTCACAGTAGTCTCTTCATTCACACTTCTTTTGGCTAGAACATTACTCACTATCCTCCTTGACCATCCTGGTTCTATCCCTACCTGGAAGGTAAGCTAGTATCACTGGGCTCTCTACTCTGTCTTATTTCTTCACCGTTCCTTTCCACCACAGACAAGACTAAGACACAGCCCTCACCCCTACCCCCATCACTGTTGAAATGAGACTCTTTTCTACCAAGTTACTTGGTTCCAGTTGAAGCTACTTTCTTTATGGACTTCGGAATCTCAACTTGGCTTTTATCCCGGGCAGGTCCTATTCCTTCAACTGAGCCTATTCTTCCGGGGTCTACTTTTTCCCTTCAACTCCCTCCCTGCCCCAACTAGCTGGTTTGATAGATCAATGGTCTATGTCAGGATATTCTCCCTGGCTTGTCACGGTCTCTAGTCTCTTCAGCTTGGGGATAAAGTCTGGTTCTTCAAAATTCTTTTTACTTGTCTCTACCATCCAGAGATCAGCCTCCCTCTTTGGAACATCCCAGCCTATCTCAAGAATCCCTTCTCCTGACCCCAGTAAAAGACCACACTTTTCCCTGACAACTTCAGGCAAGCAGCCAGAGCTTTCCACAGTTCCATTACAGGTCAGGCCTCTTTCCCTTGTCAAACCAGAACGCCTTTTAAATCTACACATGAGTTAGGGAAGAGAGATCATACACTGAATTGATTTAAATCTGGAATTCTCAGGTGTGGGGGCATTTACAGTGGAAGTGGCTTTCAAGATTACAATGTGTGGCTATGTCAACACAGAGGCAGGCCTTTGCTGCTTCTGGTCCCTACTGACCCTTTGGGTTAGTAGTTTTATCAACTTTGGCTGCACATGAGAATTGCTTCCAAAACAACAACAACAACAACAACAAAAAAAACACTGCCATTGAGTCAATTCAGATTCATAGTGACCCTACAGGACAGAGTAAAACTGCCCATAGAGTTTCCAACTGTAAATCTTTACAGAAGCAGACTGCCACATCTTTCTCCCATAGAGTGGCTGGTGGGTTTGAACATTTCACCTTTTATTTAACAGTCATATGCTTTACTGTACCCCAGAGCTCTAACCAGAATTGCTTGAGGCACCTTAAAAATCACACTAATGCTTGTGCCCATTCCCTTGAAGTACTGATTTAACGGTATGGGGTAGGTTCTAGACATCTAATCATTTTAATTAAGGCTCCCCAAGTGAGTCTAATGTGCAGCCAGAGCTGTGAATCACTCCAGGGCCTTGTAGCTCAGTGGTTCTCAATCCTTAACATTTGTAAGTATCACCTGGTTATACCATAAAAATTATGGCATCCAGGTCTGCCTCCCAGAGAGGTAGGCCTGGGCTGGGCCTAAAGCCCACTGCTATTGTGCTGATTCTGACTCATAGCCACCCCCACTGGGTTTCCAAGGCTGTAAATCTTTATGGACGTAGATTGCCTCATCTTCCTCCTGCAGAGCAGCTGGTGGGTTTGAACCTCTGATCTTCTGGTTAGCAGCCAAATGCCTTACCCATTAGCTTACCAGAGCTCCTTTTTGCTGGGCTTAGAAATCTGCATTTAATTAAGCAATTGTAATGATTCTTTTGCAGGAGCTCTGAAAATTATGGTTTGAGAAGCACAAATTCAGACCTCCTTCTTGTAGAGGCTAGGCCTAGGTAGCCACCTCTAATGGTGTGTTCCTTCTCTAGTGGGTCCTCTTCCCTAAGTCTTACCAGGAGAAGGTATTTGGAGAACAGAAGCTAAGATTCTCCTGCTTCAGGAGCAGAGAAACTTACACAGAAAATGAGAAATAAGGTGAAGGAGGAAAGGGAAGGTGAAGAAACCAAAGGAAGGAGAAATGGACAAAGAAGGAGAGAAGGACAAAGAAAAAAAAAAAAAATAGAAGAGCAGCAGGATAGAAGGTGGGGTGGTGGAATTGCTGAGAAAACATGAGGCCCACAAACTCAGGACACCCTTCTTAAGTTCTGGCACCAAATCTGTGTATTAGGGAGCTAACCTTGAATTCTGGAGAGGAAGAAGGCCACAGGGTGAACTGCAGAAGGAAGTCTTGGTAGCATGCAGGGTGAATTTTGTGCTTACCTGCCAAGGATCTTGCTGACGCAGCCATGGCTGACGCGGAGCTGGCGGGAGATGTCACAGGGCCTCACGCCCTGGTGGGCCAGGTCTACGATGCGTTGGCGCACTACTTCTGGTAGGGGTCTGCCATTCACAAAAGCCCCTCCCAACTGGTTCAGCCCTCCATGGCCTAAGGAGACAACAGTCCCAGGGACAGTTGGTTAAGGCCAGGCAGGGAGGTTTGGCGGGAGCTAGCCTCTGAGTGCAGGTGGTGAGTGTGTGCATGTTTATGGGCATATGCTACCTCGACCACGGTCAGGCCCTCTGAGCTTCCACTACCACCCTTTCCTGAGTCCACTTCCAAGGAAGCCTACCACAGGTGGATGAGAGTGAGTGTGTGATGCTCAACGGTGTGGCTGATCATTCCCGAAGGGGACATTATTATCTGGGGATGCTTTGGGTCTGATCAGTCTACTCTCAGACTCTCAGCTCCACACTCCATCTTTCATTCCCTCCCTCTGAAAAAGAGTGGGTATAAAGACTTGGGGTCCAGGTCTTTATACACTGATACTGTGTGACCTTGGGAATAGCTCCTCTCCTCCCTGGATCTTTGTTTCCTCATCCGTAAAATGAGTGTACAGGGCTAAATCAGTGGTTTTTTATGTGTCTCTTTTTCTCTCCTTTTTATCCACAGAACCGTATTTTTAAACAAAATCACGTTGAGAACGACAAATACAAAATGATAAAAGCTGAGTTTCTCTGGTTAAAGTGAGGCAGAGTGGGGCCAAGAGCTCTGTCTGTGGGCTCCTGGCCTGAATGACCCCTAAGGTTTCTCCTCTCACTCAATAGTCCAAAAAACCCAAACCTGTTGCCACCAAGTTGATTTGATTCTGATTCATGGTGACCCTATATGTTACAGAGTAGAACTGCTCCATAGGATTGTCTTACCTGTAGTCTTTACAGAAATGGATGCATTGGTGCACTACTTCTGGGGCACCTTTCTTCCACAGTGTTGCTGAGTGAGTTTGAACTGCCAGCCTTTAGGTTAGTGTTGTTGTTGTTATATGCCGTCAAGTTGGACCTGACTCATAGCGACCCCTCCTTGGGTTTCCGAGGCAGTATCAGTATGGAAGTAGATTATCCAACCTTCCTTCCAAGGAGTGGCTGGCGGATTTGAACCACCAGCCTTCTGGTTAGCAGTCAAGTGCCTTAGGCACTATGCCACCAGAGTTTAGGTTAGTAATCAGGTAAAAACTGTTTGCCACCCAGGGACCTAAGAGTCCAGTGCTCTGCAAATGACTGGCTAAGACCTCACCAGTACACATACCCATGAGGCCAGGCCTGACCTTACAGGGCTGCAGAATGTGTTCATGCCATGGCTAAGTGAATATTTTGCCTTAGATGCCTTCCTGACTCAGCCTCTGCCTCTGGCCCCAGCTGGTGTTTCATTCTGAGCCCATCCATCTATTGAAATATATCCTTATTGAGCATGTACTCTGTGCCAGGCACTGTACTAGGCACTGTGGATGTTGAGGCAAATCAGGCAGATGTGATCCCTACTATAATAAGCCCACAAGGTTTATAGGAGCACAAACCAGGAAACAGGCAATTACAGTTCCACATGATCACTGCTGGAACCAGAGAAGTATAGGGTATAGGACCACTGAAGAGAACATAGCTCAGGTTCAGGGGGCCACAGGAGGGTTCTTGGAGAAGGCCAGGCTCTGATGGAAGGATAAAGAGGTGTTAAGTGAGTGAAAAAGAGAAGGTAGAAAAGTGTTCCAGGCAGTGGGAACAGCATGTGTGAAGGATTAGAGGCAAGAGGGCAGTTGCCTATATAGACTCAACTCTATACAAAACCTAGATCCATGTTGGGGTAATTTCAGGGCTGAGAATTCCATTTTTCCAATGAAGAGACCGGGGCTTGGAGAGTTTTAGTGATTTGGTATGATTATTTGACCCAGCTCATATGAAGAGGAGTCAGGACCTAACCAAAGCATAATGCTCTAATTAATGCTGCTTTCTGTGGGAGCCCAGTTCTACAGCCAGAACTCACCTTGGGACCTTGATAATGGTTTCACAGGTTTACGCTGAAGGTATTGTGGTCAGGGGATAAGGGGCATCTTTTCACACCAGGGACATGATTTGGTGATCTGGCAAGATGACGGTAGAGTCCTAGGGGTGGGAATCAGAGGAAGTGGGCAGAGAAGGATGGTCCAACAGCTGGGCCTCTGTGTGAACCAGTTAAGAACTATTTATGGCAAAGGGTGGGAAGTGCCTTTGCTGGGCACACAGTGCCCATTATCACCCACTGACTTAGCACATTCAGAACTGCCTTGCAATGTCTCCTCAGGGGCCCAAACTGTCTTCAGCAGAACAGTTAATTTCCCTTAAAAAAAAAAAAATTGTAAGCCTCTGGCTTGGGCAGTAAGTCAGGAGAAAAAGCCCGCTGGTCAAACCCTGAGCATGAGGGACAATGTGATCCATCTTCCTGGTGGTGGCAGTTGGGTGAGTTTGGGTACATCTTCCACCTGTATGCATTCTAGGCAAAACGTCTCAGTTAGTGAATTCTGAGAGCATCAAGATTGGGAAGGCATCCAGGGGGCTTTTGGCACCTCCTAGATGGCCAGCAGCGTGGCCACACACATCCCGCCTACTCCAGTGACTTTTCTTTCTGGCCACAATGGCTCTCTGTGCACAATGACTGTAATCATTTGACCACCCTTTTTTTCATCCTTGTTGCTTTCTGCTCTTTTGAGTGCAGGCACTGAACACAAGGGGGCGCCAAGCAACACCCAAGCACAGACAATCTTCAGTAGTCCAGTTTTGTCCCCATTTTCCAGAACTTTTGTTGCCTAGTCTATTGAGGCTTACATGTTTAGGTTAGGACCTCTGCATCTGCCCACAAGGCTTCCTACAGGGCTTGAGGGGTCTTCACTACTAGAAAAGTAGAAGTTTAAAAAATATATATATATATCTGCCTTGTTTTTCCAACATAGCTGTGCAGGCTACTGTCCTAAATTACCCTAAAGGACTGATCTGGGATCCTTAGGAACCCAAACCCTCAGGAGCTCTCCTGGACAGTTATTTATTTACTAGATCAGCCAGCGTCTGTGTGAAGGGAAAGATGTATTCACACTTCTGGCTCCCAAACATCAATTCTCTTGTGCTTGATTTTACTCAGCTTCTGAATGACTTTGTGTTACATGGAAAGAGCCTTGGGCTAGAATCCTAACAGACTCTGCCCTGTATAAATATATTATCAGGTGATGAGTTGTTATTTTTCAATCTATTAAAATAAATTAATCTATTAAAATGTTTAAAATATTTTTTAATTTATTGGTGTTTTCATCTATTAAACAGAACTGAACAAATTTTTGTGCTTTGCCTGCTGCTGATCTATAACAGCTGCTGTAAGCAGATGGAGGAATGAAATGACGAAGTGTCTGGTTGGCTGAGAATATTGAGATAAGTGTATGTTTTGTTTCTCATGTTTAGTACTCACCTTGTTGAATGTTATGGCCAATGTTTGGTCCTAGTTCTAAAATAGTGGTTTTCAAACTTAAGCATACATCAGAATCACTCTGGGGGCTTGTTAAAACACAGACTGCTGAAACCAGTGTCCTGAATTTCTGAATCAATAGATCTGAAATGGGACCAAGAATCTGTGATTCTAAGAAGTTCTCAGGTAATGTTGATGCTGCTAGTCTGAGGCCATGAGCTGAGAACCATTGGTTTTGGCTGGGCAGTGGCTGTCATTGTCGTTATGTGCCGTTGAGTTGTCTCTGACTCGTAGAGATCCTTCCTTGGGTTTCCAAGGTGGTATCTCTATGAAAGTAGATTGTGCAACCTTCTTTCTGAGGAGTGGCTGGTGGGTTTGAACCACCAATCTTCTGGTTAGCAGTCAAGTGCCTTAGGTGCTAGTAAAGAAAATTGAAGAGAACAATGTCTTGTACCTTCTACTTCCTCCATGAACAATTATTCTTGTTGTTTGTATATTATGGTTTTCATTTTTTCCCATCTCAGTTCATATTTATTGATTACCTACTATAAGTCAGGTACATTAGGTTTACAACCTTGAATAAGACAAGAATCCTGGCCCTCAAGGAACTTAAAATCTTTTGGGGAAAGCAATCAGATAAGTTGGGAATCATCATGTTATGGGGTAAGTCTCTCAAAAGGGGTAAATCCAGGTGCTATAGGAGCCAATGAGTGGTCAGAGGGAGATTGTAGGGAGGAAGCATAAGAGGTAACCAGGTAAAGATGTTTCTATAGGAAAAAATCCATGGGCAAGGTCTTGGTGGTTTTAAAAAATGGAGACACACTTTTTTAGGCTGTAGGACAGACAGGAATAAGAATTAGGAAAGAGCCTGCTGGCTGCAGATAGAGATGGCCCTTATGGTTTGAGGTTTTGAACTGGGTCCCTGTAATGGAAGGATTTTTCTCTTTCCTGTGTCCGGTGTGGAGGAGTGTACTCCACTGGGTGAGTCACCACCAAGTGCCCCCAGGTGGGTGCAGTCTTCCTTCCTGCGCTGAAGAGGATCTGACTGCCCACTATGTGACCATCTTTGCATGTGGCTTTGCATGTAGCTATGGACTGGGTGGATCTTGAGGCCGGAAGCCAGAAATGAGTAGGAGCCCCATAATTGGGCTGGGGGCAAGGTGTGAACCAGGAAAAGGTTTGAAACTTCATAAGCAAAGGCCTTTTGCATTGTCTAGAGACACTTCTGCAGGAACTTGGGTAGGGAGCAGTGGGTGTGGATAGGGAAGACAAGACTGCCTGGCCAGAGCCAAGCAAGTTCCTGAGGGTGAAGATACTCAGACTAGGGAACAGAGACGTTCCCAGGGCTGAAGAGGACTTATCTTACAGTAAAGGGATTTAGAGCTCTGTGAAGCTCTAGGGGAAACCTGATGTCCAAAAGTGTATACTTTGCAGAAGTGACCATTTGGAAAGATCTTAAGATTTTCTTTAATAATTTCTTCACCCTTACAGGGCTCTGAGGAATAGGGATAGAACAGAAAAAGATAGAGGCTCATTGCTCAGAACCCTTGCTACATGCAACAATACTCAAAGCCTTAAAATGTAGGGATATTTTTCCCATGGTCCCATGTTGTTGTTGTTATGTGCCGTGGAGTCAGACCTGACTCATAGAAACCCTTCCTTGAGTTTCTGAGGCAGTATCACTACTG